TTTTTTCACTTTAATCTCCATGTGAAAGAAAGCACAAGGCACTGTCCTTGGTCTGAACAAGGCATGGATGTTGGTAGATTTTTTTCTTGCTAGCTGGTTTTGTGTGTGCAACCAGTCCACAGAAGATGGCATCAGGAAGCAGCCTGAACCATCTCGGACCCAGGGCCTGGCTCAGGGCACCTCACTGAGAAGCAGTGACTGAGAAACTTAAAAGATTTCCCAGAGCTCCTTGGTACTAGTGATGGGTGAGCTCTTTCTTCTCAGCCTCCTCTCCCTCAGACTTGCCAATCTCAGTCCAGTAGGACCACCATCAGGGCTCAGCGAAACAAATGGGAAAGACCCCAGGACACCAGGGTGATGTTAGTTTTCTCTGAGAGGAGGCCTTTGAGGTCCATTTTGTGACTTTGACTTAATGTATGAAAACAAGCCTTTAATTGAGATTCTCTCTGCTTTTTTTTTCTCTCTGGATTTTATTTTTGGTCTTTCACTTTTAAACATGCGAATTTTCCAAAAAACTAAAAACAAACAAACAAACAAAAAAACCCAAAAAACAAAAATATAGAGTTCCTTTAAAATCTAGAAAATCCTCTTTGAGTCATATATCTCAGAGAAACAAAAACATTTGACACAAAAACTTACATGAAGGGGCCAGTGAGATAGCTCAGTGGTCTAAAGTGCCTGCTTAGGCAAGCTTAGGCAGGTGCAGGGGACCCCCTATGCTGTGCCAGACCTACCCTCAGGGTGGGCTGAGCTGGCCAAAAAAAGTCCTTACATGAATATAACAACACTAGCCAATAGCCAAAATGCATAAATGAACTAAATGTCTATCAATAGATAAATGAATCAATAAAATATGGTATAATTGGAATATTACTGAACTTAAAAAAAGGATAAAATATTGATATCATCTACAGCATGGATAAACCTTGAAAACATGCTAATGGAAGCCAGTCACAAAGGACTATATATATCATAATATCACATTTAGAGGAAATGTTCAGACCAGGGCAATCTGCAGAGACAGAAAATATGTTAGTGCTTTCTTAGCCCCAGGGATAGAGTGACAAGGTGCTGACAGCTAAAAGCAAAGGGTTTGTTTCCTTTTCTTTCATTCCTTTTGAGACAAGATCTCACTCTGTAATTAAGCTGGCCTTGAACTCACTATATAGACCAGGCTGGCCTCAATTGAGAGTGATCCCATTGCCTCATCTTCTCAAGGACTAGGATTACAGGTGTGCACTACCACACCTGGCCAAAGAGTTTCTTTTTTGAGATAATAAATATGTTCCCAAATTAACTGCATTAATATTATATATATAAATATATACTATGCCACTGAATTATATACTTTAAGTGAATGATATGTATGTAAATAAATCTATTGAAAATATAATGAGTCTACAGCTATACCACCCTGAATGTGCCCTATCTCATCTGAAAATGTAATGAGCCACTCATTCTCAGGCACAAGTATTGTACTTCCAAAACCCAGAGAACATGTATTTCACTTAAATTCACCCTGGGTTCATTACTTTGCTTCATTATAATCGTATTAGATTCATTATAATCTGCCTTACATAGAGATACCTACCTTTTATTTTTCTATATTCTTGTCTTCAACGAAGTTTTATGTAATAGTTAAAAGTTGAGAGTTGTTTGTCAGATAGTTCCTTTTCTGACACACAGACTCTCTCATAGAGTTTATGACAATTAAATTTGTGACTAAGAAAATACTTTTTCCAGATTAAACACAGAGCAGAAAGATTATTTCCTCAAGACTTAATATAACACGCCCTGGAAGGGGATCTTGAGAACCTGAGCTCTTTTGTCTCTTTCTCTTCTGCTTCCTAACTATTGTGAAGTGAGCAACTCTGCCAAATCAGAGCTTTCTGCCAAACCAGGGCTTCCTGCCATAATATGGTACCTTGCTATAGGCCCCAAAGCAGCAGAGCCTACCAATCATGGACAAAAACCTTTGACATTATGACCTAAAAATAAACCTTTACTTTTACTTAGTTGATTTAACTTAGGTATTTTGTTACAGCAATAGAAAGCTAACCCAATATATTACTTCATAATTATATATGATAATAGGTTATACATATTAAACAATGTTGTTATAACTAATTTATTACACTGTTATATATCACATATTTTCCAGGAAGGAGCTTATGCCACTGAGCTATATCTGTGGCCCCAGTATCACATATTTGGGTCAAAAGTGAACTTCTATATAAAACAGTGGTCCCATAGATTTTTATCACATAGTAAAGCTGTAACCACTCTATGATGTTTACACAATGGCAAAATCACTTCGCGATGGATTTCTCAGAAAGCATTTCTGTTCTGAAAACCAAAGGGGTCTTCTCTTATTCAATCACAATTAGAGTTGACAACTTAACACATGAAAACACAAAATGCTCTGGGCAAACCACAACAGAAATGAAGTTTCTGAGCTTTTCTTGATCAGGCAAACTACTGCACTCCCCCTTCTGGACACACTCAGATCTTGTTCTTAGATTTGATGAGATCTAGGTGTTCTTGTTTACACTTTAGTGCCTAAAAGAATAAACTTAATCTGCTGGGCAAGATTTCTAGTAACCAGTTAAAGCCTGGCACGATCTTGCTGATAAAAGGGAAGGTTAGCTTACTCTAGTATTGAATTAAACCCTATATTTCTCCTGTTGTCTATTCTTGTCCTGCATTCCATCTTCTAAAATTTCTATTTGATTTGGCAGTATTTCTTAGAATTGTCTTATAAATTTACTTATAAATTTTATTATGTATCATTGTTGGTTCTTATTAAAATTAGATACTAATCTGGTAGAACTAGTTTGGTGTCTGAAAATTTGTTTCTTTGTAAGCTCCAGGGGATGCTGACACATTGGTCCTACTAGTGCCAGGCTATTGCCACCTATCTCACAATTAATAGATATTTTTATGCAGTTACATAGGCTCCATCCAAATGTACTGATTCAGAATTTCTGGGGCAGTGTCCAGGAATAATCGGTACATTTTAAACATTCTCCTAGGGAGATTTGAGAAGTGGAATATCAGTTTGAAATGCTCTCTACTTTTTTCTCTACTTGCTTATTCTCTGTTCTGAAAGCCCAGTGCAGGTCCTCCTATGTGCCTGATGCTTTATTGAACACCCCAGACTTAATTTAATAGTTCTTTGCAGCATGAATTTGCTACTTATCATTGTTTATATTTTATTGCACATATCCTCTCTTCAAACAAATTTTCTCTCTTCCTGATTGCCTGTTTTTCTGCGACTGAATCTCAGTATGTAGCCCAGGCTGGGCCTCAAACTTGCTATAGTCTCTTTCTTCAGCCTCTTGAGTACTAGAATTATGGGCATGCACGATTAGGCCTGGCTAGATTTTATTTCTTAAAATAAATAATTACATGCAATCGTGTACCCTCAGCTCCTAGCATAATGCTTAGCATCAATGTCTAATTACTATTTATCATGGACTCAGATATTGACATTTATAGCTATTATCCATAAAGGTGATAATAGCTATAACAGAAGATTAATTTCTCTTCTGGACACATGGGTTTCCCAGACCTTATGTGGTTTAAAGAAGCTGCTGACACTATTTAAAAACAAACAAGCAAACAGTTCAAATGATTAGGAAAAACTCTGCAATTTCACACGATTTTTTTAGGAATTAGCGCCAGTTTTCCTTTGTACCTTGGCAGTGTGTACTTTATTATGGTAAGCAACACTTTAAAGGAAAGAAAATAGTATTTTATATTATGTCTTTTATCTTTGAACCTCAAAAGTCTCTAAAACCATTTATTAAGTTCCTATATAACCACGCTGTAATATTATTATGCCCTTCACAAGAAAGAGCTGACAGAGAAGAGTTGTCAAAATCATAGCCATTATAGGAAAGCCACATTAAGAAACTCAAGAATGGCTGGGTGGTGGACTGGGAAGAACTCAGCATTTCCCAGACATACAGCTGCAGTACTTAGAAGGTGAGTATTCCATGAAGAGAGGAAGAGGAGACAAAACAAAGTTGAGGATCATTTTTATTCTGGAAAACCAATTTCTCTCCTCTGTATTTCCACTGTATTGCTCTATGTAAGTTATGATGTTTGTACTAACATTATTGGTAAATATTCATCCTAATTTTCTTATCTATTGATTCATCCTGTTTTCTCTACCTCCTAACTCACTGCAGTAGCAACGCAAAAAGAACTGCCAGGAGTTCTCAAGAACCTGAGAGCTTGACTCTAGTTCCATCACTCAGGAACACTGGTTCTTGTAAAATTCGGTTCACTTTTCTGTCAGCTTCTCTTTTATGTGTAAACTGGGAGTGGAACACACCTACTTACCTTACAGGATGGCTGAAGGGGTAGAACGCAACTTGTCAACTGTAAAATTAAATGGATACAGGTTGTTCCTATGTCCCTCCTTTTTAAAAGTAATTTAATGGCAGAAGCACAAGACACAGCAAAACCAACAAGCGCAGGGCTCGTCGGTAGGGAGCAGCCATGAGGCAGCGCTTTCTCCTCTGAAAAGGAAGGAGCTGGCAGTTGGGCGTCCTCTCTTCGGCGGTCTCCGCACATCCCAGGGAAAGAAAAGAACTACAACTCCCGTGAGACCGCGCGCGGGCACTCTGCCCCCCCCACCCCCCAGCGCCCGACAGGCGCGCGCCCCAGAACACGCGCCGGAGATCCGCAGAGAGTGGGTGCTGTGGCGGGCTCTAGTGGTGGACGTGCTCGCAGATAGAAGAAAAGAGTCGCACGGGAGTGTGGGGATGATAACGAGGCTAAGACGCCTGGTGAAAGGCAAATTAAACAAATAAAAAGAGCTGTGCAGCGTTTCCACGCCACCGGGGCGGACAGTACGCGGGGCCCCTGTGGAGCCGGCGGGAGCGCGCTCCCGGGCTCGCGCCTCACGCCTCGGGGACTCAAATCCGCCCGGGCGGGAAGGGCGGGGCCGCGGCGCTGGGGCGGGGCCTGGCGGGGAGGGCGGCGGCGGCGGCGGCGGCAGCCGAGACCCAGACATCTGGGACCGTCGTTCTCTCACCACACGCCGGTTTCAGTCAGACCCGGCCCTGGCCCTGGCCCTCCGGTGAGCGGGCAGCCGTATCTGCCTTCTCTTCCAGTTCCCTAAAGCCACGACGGAAGCTGGCACGGACTGCCTGTGGCTGGTGTCCGATGCCCTTCAGTGAGGAGGGGGCGTCCGGACCCTGGTGAACGCAACCATCTTCGTCGGCCCCTCAGGCCCGCACCCGCGTGTCTGCCTGCCATGGCTGAAAACGCAGAGGGAGACCTGAACTCCAACCTGCTCCACGCCCCCTACCGCACCGGCGACCCTCAGCTGGACACGGCCGTCGGGCAGTGGCTCCGTTGGGACAAGGTGGGTACCCACCTGCTCAGCCCAGCATCCTCTCCCTCCCCCGCGCACAGGCCGCCCTTTCCGGTGCTCACTGGGGCTCCGCGGGCTTCAGAGGAGGTGGCTTTGGCCACCGCGGGTTCGGCGAGCCGGGCGTTGCCCCCACCTATCCTGGGCTGCCTTCTCCCGCGGCTGGGCTGGGCAGGGACGACTGCAGTCGCTTCCTTTTTGTAATGCGCTCAATCGCCTCCCCTCTTCCTCATCTCTCATCCTCTTCCCTTACAGTGCTGTCAAAATATTCATTATTCTCAAGAATAAACACAGTAATAAGTTCTGCCCTCACAGAGCTATTTCCTTTGCCTGCTCTCCCGGGAACTCCCTTCTGTGTAAACCTGAAAGTGGTTTCTGGCTCCCTCTTGAATGTTCCTAACCACTATCCTCATGGATGCTCCTGTGCAGTGGACCTTCTATCCATAGGTAGTTGCTGGTCTTTACCATTCCCTAGTATTTTCTAGTATCATCTTTTGCTCTTGAGAAAGGAGAGGGTTTTCCTAATTCTCCTCCATTCTCCTGTGGGTGTTTACTTTTTGGAGTTAGGCTATCCAAATAGTCCTGTTTTGTCGGTTTTATATGATAGTCCTGACATGGAATTGTTTTTGCCATACCTCCCCCCTTCTGCTGTCGTTGTGCAGGCATATGGGATGGATTTATGAGAGTCAGAATTAAAGCACAGTACAGCTATCTCATTTGTAAAAGAGGCCCTTGGAGGCTGCAACAGAGGACCATGATCCAAGGTTTTGCTTTGTCAAGTGAATGAAATAGTGAAATAGAGAGGGCAGCATATTTGAAATGGAATTAATAACACTGAATTAAAGAGTTTGTATGGTAGTATGTGAAATCATGTTGTACAAAATAATTTTTGAGTGATTAGCTTTCTGAAAGGGTGTTAGTTTTTACTTTGTTGAGTCATTCATGCATTTAGGACAAAAAAAGTGAGCCCTGAATAATGTTCTAAACCCTATTGAGGCCAGGAAATACTGGTGGTAAGGAAGATAGGAAATGTTTTTGCCCTCAACAAACTTTCATTTTACAGATAAGGATGATCAACAAATAAGCAGTTATAATGAGGTATTTGGTGTTACTTGGTCATATGCTTCTTGGACAAATTCTGCTTGAGACTAAATCATTGCTTTTTTTTTTTTTTTTTAAACAGAGTTTCATTATATAGTTCAGTTCAGTTTGGCTTTTAATTCACTGTGTCCCAGACTGACCTTGAACTTGAAGCAGTCCTCCTGCCTCAGCCTTCTAAGTGCTGGGATCACAGGTTTGTACCATCATGCCTGGCTAAACCATTGCTTCTTTAAACCTTAAAGTGTTTAAAGATCATCTGAGGGTCCTTAAAATGCAGATTCTGATTTAGAGGCCAGTTCCTTTGGGTCTGAGAGTCTTACTGAGCAGATCTCCAGGTGATGCCAGTGTTGTCGTGTAGACCACACTTTGAATAGTAAGACTCTTTCCATTCTATTTTTGTGCCAGTTTTGGTTATATTCTTCCCAAAGATTATCCCAATTATTTTTAAAATCATGGCTGAAATGAAAACTTATTAATTGTCCATGTTATTTGTACATGCTGAGATACACTGAAATACTTATAAAATGTATTATGTATTTTAAAGATAGTGCTAAAAAAAAAAAAGATAGTGCTAGAATAGTATTGGTAGAATTAGATAGTTTATAGATGGTAAATTCCTATAGGAGTTCAGAAGGGAATGATCTGTGAACTGAAGACTGAAGATTGAATACATATAAAAAGAATTGTAGAATATTAATTTATATTTAAAGTGCCTTCTACAGGGGATTACAGGTTAGCTCAGTTGTTTAAGTGCCTGCTGGGGCAAACCAAGTGAGGCACAGGGGACAGGGAACCATGGTTCGATCCCCAGCTCCCCATGTCTTACCAGACCTGCCCTTAAGGTAGCCTGAGCCAGCCCCAAAAATAAAAAGTACCTTCTACATACAAAGTACTGGCTGAAAACCTTTGTGAGATAAATGAATAGATACATATCTTACCCTCAAATATATAGTAATGAAAATAAAGGCACACAAACAGTGCAAGGAGCAAATAACTCCTGGGTAAGAGGTTGTATCCAGGGTACTGAAATTTATAGAAATGTCAAATAATAAATTAGACTTGTATTTATTTTATTACATGTGGACAGCACATGTGATCTTTTAATACAGAAAACTAGTTTAACACTTGATTGATATCCATTATTTAAAAAAACCCTGCCAAATGCTGCTGATCATTAGTGATTTTGATGAGGCATGTAATAAGTTATAAATTAATCTAGGGACAACTTGCTATTTGTCTTGTTCACTAAAACTACTAATTTTAGCCTCAGTGAGTTGGGGAACTTTGAAAAGTCTTCATGAAAAAAAATGTTTTGAACTTTCAGAATTAAAATTTAGACGAGGGCTGGCCAGATAGCTCAGTGGATTGGGACCAAGGTTTGGATCCCCAGCATGCTGTGCTGGCCCCAGTCCCAGTGCATGCTGAGACAGGACTGAGACTGGGCATGGTGGTGCATGCCTATAATCCCAGCATTTGGGAGGCTGAAAACAGGAGAGTCACTATGAGTTCGATCTGTGTAGTGAGACGCTATAGAACCTGTACTAAATACAAAAATAAATAAATAAATAAATAAATAAATAAATAAATAAATAAAATTTAGACTAATGTGGAGAACTACGGCAGAGAGCAAAACTTTGGAAGGTTTAATATGTACAGTTAACACATTTATTTCTGCTGTAGCTTAGCATACACAGAAAATTTTTGAAAGGTGTATGAAGACAAGGGCATAAATGTCTTTAATGATCCTGAACAAGTAAAAGTGTTATGTCAGTGCTAAACAGAAAACAGCACAAGAGGATGAGTTTCATCCATCATTTACTTAGTTGACTCCACGCATCCACAATATCTTTCTGAGTTCATTTGGAACATTCTCAAGATGTTAGGCCATGTGTTAGCCATAAGATTGAAATCATTATGTTTTCTAGGTTTTTGTTTTGTTTTCTTTTTCTTTTTTTTCTAGTTAAAACAAAGCCCATACAGAAATAAATCTGGCAAATCTCCAACTTGTCTATTGATAAACTTACAAGTCCAACATCTGACCTCCCAGTTTCCAGGCCTTTAGTCTAATATGTTAGTCTATATTGTTTCAATACGAATTTGCTTTATTTGATTTCAAGAAACTGATGTCCTATTTATACTGTTCTATTAATTTATGATACATGTATAATAGCTAAGTAGATTTGTTTCTAGTGGGTACATTTTACAGATGTATCATAAGGAAAGTTAAAGAATCAGAAGACATTTGGTGATCATGAAACCAAATTACAGGGAATCAGATATATAACATAAACATTTAACAGCATTAGCCTGTATCCAGTACGTGCATCCATCTCCATGGTAGGACTCTGCTACCACTAAAATCCAATAAGTGCATGAATCAAAGGGTTTCTTCTCCAGGCAGTATACAGGTAGTTCTCCCAACAGAGTGCTCTCCTCCTGTGCTCTATGGCCAAGCCTCGGATCTCTTTCTAACTCTTTCATTGCTTCTGCACATTGTCAAATTACAGACAAATTGGCTGGCCTAGAAGCCAGGTTATCTTTAATATAAGAACTATATGCCATTTCTGACCCATTGTGAATTATGACTTTTTGAAAGTAGTCTTACATTCAAGATATTAAACACTGGCTTGGGCAAGTGAATGGGTAAAGAGTGGGACGGGGACATAGGACAATGCTGTTCAGCTAGCTCAAACAGCAGTAGCAAAGGTGTTGAAATTCCTATTAATAACAATGTGGAAGCAGGAATTGGTTGTGGCATTTTAAGAAATAGAGCAATCTGGTCTCAGAATGTAGATATATGTTGAGAAAGGGTGAAATACAAAGTTGAAGGTAGGTTAGGTTCACAGAAAACCTGAACATAGGAATAAAAGACATAGAAATAAAATCTAAGCCACTGATTTTTAGACACCTAACAACAGAAGTTTTTTTCAGCAAAATTTAGCTCAGAAAAGGTAGTGAATAAATTCCCTTTAAATCATCATTATCACCTATGAAGCACCTCTGCAATGTCATTGTAGAGTACAAATTATACTGTGGCACAGCCTGAGTTAGAGCTTGGATCTGCCAACTAGTTCAATCCAATTTTTATAATACTAGTTTATATAGCACTGTTTTTGTTCACATTTTTCTAATAATTTACTTAATTTGTCACTTAATGAAGAGTATAGAGTACATATAGCTTTTTTTAGTTGAAGAGAATGTTAGTACTTATAGCTTGAATTTATTTGTGTAGTGTCTCAACTTTTGTACAATGCTCAGCATTTGCTATTCATGGCAATTCCGTATGATAAGCAGGTAGTAGTTATTCCCACTTTCACAAGTAAAGAAAAATAGGCTCAGAAAAGGAAAATGATGTACTCAAGGGATTACAACTTTTAAGTGGAAGATTTGATGCTAGAACCTAGGCCATGTGACTTTTACTGTAGTCTTAGTAGATTCTATAAATCAAATATTTATTAAATGTTAGCAACATCATTAACCATATTTGAAGAACCTTATTAAAACCTTTTTTCTGGCTTTTGTAAAGCTACAGTAGAGTATAATATCCTGCCAAATAAATTGTTTGGATTGTTTTTAGGAGATGAATTTGCTGCTCAACAGTTGCTTTGGTTTCCTTGGCAATGATATTCTATCTAAGAAATTTAGTATATCTGAATGAAAGTTTAATTTTTCTTTTTTTAAAATTTAACTTTTTTTATTTCCAAATTTTATACTTTCTCCTGTTTCTATCATTTTCATTTTCTGTATTTTAGGGACGGATCTACTGGGTGTTCAGGGTCTCAGTACTAGATTGGACTTGTAGTGATTCTCCTGTTTAAAGCCTCCCAAGTGCTGAGATTACAGGTGCGCACTACCACACCCAGTCTTATTCACCATCTCAGGGCTCCTTGGGC